TAAAGTTAAAATATTTTCTAAAATTAATAGTTTTTCGACATACTTTTTTAATACTTTTTTATAGAAAATAAAAAGATGCATCGATTGATACATAAAAAATAAAGGATTCCATTTAAAAAGTTAAGTTATCTTCTCTTCAACTTTATAAAATCTGTTGCATGAAAAACAAGGACAATATGAGCATAAGAATACCATGCCTGTTTTTCTTGGTCTTTCATATAATAAATTTCATAAAATTAAAGTTAGAATATCTTCTAAACTAATAGTATTAGTCGATATACATCGATTAATACTTAATGTTTTATACAGAATGTCGAGCTGTGCCGACTAATGAAGTAAAAAATTAGTGGAGTCTATTTAAAAAAGATGTGACCTTAAGATCTCAGAAATATCTCTACTTACAATTAGATAAATCTGATAATTATTATAAGATGTCTCCCTTGAAACAGAAGAAATTTTATTTCAAACATTTTTTCGAATAACAAATAGTAAAAAAAAAAATCGCGTGAATGAATTAACATTTTCACGTTGAGCGTCACATATACCTAACTTTGATTATCCAAAAATATTAATATAAATAAATAAATGAAAATATCTATTAATGCTAGAACAACTGTATCGAAATATTTTATATATAAATTGTAAATTTTATATATATATTGTAAATTATTACAAAATAAACAGATCTATACAGTTTATATTTTTGTCCAAACAAAAATTAACATTGACAAGAATACACATATTTTATGATTCAAGTTTAAGTAGTTCAAACGGAAATCAGTCATATTGATGATTGTTATAGTATATTATAACAAAATTACAACAGTTAAATTAAAACAGTATGATAATAAAATTCTTCACTTCAAAGATCCTGCCAAGAAAGTGTTAAAATGAGACACCCTGTATATTTTGTAAATTAATATAAAAGTCATTTGTGTTTCCTTATTCTTATTTACTTATATTATGTGCTAAGATAACCTTATTTAATGCTTTATCTTCTAAAAACATATCTTGAGCGTTAAGCGAGCATCTTACTGTATGAGGAATTGTAGATTCCTTACGTAACCTTACGAATATATTATGCATGTTGCACGGAATATTTTAAAATTTTATTAGCATTATAACGAGATATTAGTTAAAGTTCAAAGAAATCTGAAAACGTACATAAAAGTTATAAGATAGTGTTTTAATGCTATTAAAAAATGTTTATTTAAATACAGCAAAGAGCATAACTATATGACAATGAATGATTTAAACTGATATAACTTCGTAAAAAAAGATCATATAACAGTTCATTCGGTCTCATTTTAAAATGTGAAGTTTTACTTTGATAATTGTGAGTTTGTTTTTTTCGAAGATAACATCATGTAGTAATGGATGGAAAAGTAAGAATACTTTTTTTGTAAAAATTCAAACAGAAAGTGTAGAAATATTAAAAATTTTTTTCGTAGCTAGATCTATCATTTTGAAGATTGAAGTTTTGCTGTTACGACGCTTTAAAATTTACTGTACGATTTTTTTTCACCAAATATTAGGGTTAAAAACCATTCAAAAAATTCTAACATTCCGTTATCCAACTCTAACGTTTCCAATTTCAATAAAATGGTGAAAAAAAATTTTTTTAAAAGATCAGCAAACTTTAATCTTCTAAGACAATGGTGATTTAGTTGTAAAAAGAAATTTTTTTAATGTTTTTAAAAAATATTTAAAATTGGTTTATGATTAAATTACATCAAAATAGTTACTTTCAAGTTGAAAGTGTCAACAAACAAAATATCATATTATAAAAGAAGCATAAATGATAGTTATGTTCCATTACAATGCAAATGAAATTTCGAAATATTTTGTAACATGCATAACATCCGACACAAAAATACGAGATTATGCCTATAATTTTTTTTATTAAAGAAATTCGAGGAATCAACTATAGTCATCTTAAAAGTAATTTCCTTCTGAGCTAACACACAGCCGCATACGATAATGTTGCTTCGAAGTAATTCTGGAACCTAATTATTATTAATAAATATACAATAAAATAGAAGAAAAATCCATTAAAGCAATAGATATAATATATATATCGTAGCAATAATAATTGTAATATTATTATTAAATAAAGAATTTATTCAAAACTATAACATTTGGACAAGAAATGTCCCTGTACTATCCCGAAATAATCGAACCTAACCCAAACTTAATCTTATTAAATAGTTTAGAAGGACAGAAATGAATAAAAACCATAGTTTGAGTATAGAAGTGAATAGATAGAAGTGAATAAAAACTTTAAATATTTTTAATAATTAATCATTTTCAAGGAATAATAAGTGACGGTTAAAACTTCTCGAACGTTATTCAAGCAAGTGTTCTTGACAATATATGTGAAGTTCAAGGTCATTGGAATGTCCTCTCTTAAATATAAGTTTTATTATAGAATTAGACAAAACGTAATCTGATTAATGATTAATGATTACGATTAATGTGGAATCAGGATATTATTCATGATTTCTAATTATTAAACAATCAATAGCTGTTGATTGAATGAATAATATTTATTAATGAAAAAATCGAAAATATTTTATAATGATGAGATTTATATTGATGAGGTAATTTAATAACCATTAATCATAAAATTATTACACCTTTAATTATGATTATATTAGTAGTTTATTTTTATCCATAATAATAGACATATTCTGTAGAAATTGCATATTTACTATTTGCACTGTGCATTTTGCAACATGCACCATTCTACAATTTTGTCAGGAAATAAAATTTACTTGTTGCAAATATTCAACAAATTTTCCATCAACTATAATTGAAGATCTCATCTGTATAGGTTTTGAGTCGTTATTGACACAATCTCCGGTATGACTTTAATGATAAACATCGTCGAATGAACAAAATTTTGAGATTCTTCATTATACGCGCTTATTCTTGTATCAAAACTATATCTGAGAATTATAAACTTTAACAAATTATTATAAATTCAATAATACAGATACTATTATGTAGCAATGGATATGGATAGACATTCTATCTAATCTTGTGATTGGGTCTGCTACTTAAACTGCAAACAGTTTGCAATGATAACATTCAGTTATATCGAATAGCACAATCATAGATAATCAATACATTTGAACACTGCATTATAGCAGTGTGAAAAGGTAACATTATCGTAATAAAATATAAATTTATCAACTAATGATTTTAAAATTATTAATTAACGATTGAAAATTACAGTAGTTAATCAAAATTGATTTATTGATTTATTTTAACAATGATTAATTGATTAATGATTACGATTAATTGATTACAGAAATGATTACTGGACAACTCTGTTTTATCATACAATAAGATCATCGATTAATCTTTAAATATTTCAATAAATAACGTATCCAAGATGAAAACAAATATAATGGATTCGTGAAATATGTATCTCATCTACGACTGTTTACAAACGGCAATTTGTGATATGAACAAATCTCAAATAAGATACGATACAGAGTAACGAAAGTATTTCTGTAAATAATAAACTAAAGCCGAGCAACAGTAACATGTATAGGAAAAAATTTTAAATGATGATTTCGACAACTTTATTTCAAGATTATCAAAATTAGTGAGAATTAAGTAAATAATTGTCTCCTTAAGTAAATAATTATCGAAATTTGTTTCAAATATATGAAATTAAGCAAGTGCTTTATAACTAAAATTTTAAAAAATTCAGACTTATTTTTTCGATTATGAATTTATTTCCTAAACAGAATTCCTTTTTTCTTACATTACCCTTTTCTCTTTCATTTTTCTAGAATTTATAGATTTGTATGTTTTCTAAGAAATTACAAATTTTATATTGGATCAAAAAATTGGCAAATTAATAGAATTAATTAATTAATAGATAAATTAATAGAAAAAATCAACAGTTAGTAATTTATAGAAACGCTTTTTTTCATTTAATTGCTTGTTATATATGAAAATTCTTATTCTTAAGAAATCATTATATTTCATTGCAAATCACTGAAATAAAAAAATAAAATAAAAAGATCCCAAAATAAAAAAAATAGAAAGAATTTAAAATTTAAAATTCAATCATATAATATATGATATGTCAAAATCTATAGAATGTTTCCGGAAAAGGGACGTTTCTATATGGAAAAGAAATTTTTTATATTTAAGGCTTTATTTCCGATCGAGTTTAAAAATTTATCAAAAATCTACAAATATTAATAAGTATTAATAAATTTTAATGTTTAAACTGTGAAGAGAACATTTTGAATTTAGTTATGAACAAAATTTATATTTTTATAAAAATATTTGAATTTGTAAAATTTTCTAAAGAAAAAAGATTTTTAAGTCCTTCAAAATAATGTGAAGATATTTTTGAAAGAAACGAATATTATGAAAGTAGCAATATTATGAAAGTAGAGACTTTTCATTACATTTTCTTTTAAGATGAACTCATGTAGATTATTGATGATTTTTTAACATGGAGTTATAGCAGTTTAAAATATAGATAATTTTTCGTCGAATGTGAAAATATCTATTTTGTCGAACAAAAATATTGTTGATATTTTAAACTATTATTTTCACTTAGTGAAAAATATTTGTAGAATAATCAATCATTTTAAAGTACGAAGTTCTATTTTAATTCATTTTTTCCGAAGATTTTTTTTACACCAGTTCAAAGAGTATAAATAAAGGTACTTCTTCTTTTGCAAATTTTGCAAATTCAGGCGTCTTTGAATCAACACTGAAAAATTTTTTTTCATAACTGAATTTATCATGATCTTAAAGATTGAACTTTTCACTTTACGATGATTTTTTAAAATTTGTTGCATGATTTGTTTTTTTTACAAAGTTATAAGAGTTCAAAATATCGACAATTTTTCGAGTACACAAATGCTTTTTACACCCAGTGTAAATAACAAAAACATGAATTTATATAAAAATTCATAGATATGAAGAGACAGGGAAAAGATAGAAAAAGCGTAATGATGTCGACGTACTTCTAATATATGAAGATCGGTCCCGCAGATTCCTGCATAAGCAACTCTGATTCGAACGTCGTTTGGTCCTGGCGTCGGTATCTCTGCTTTTCGCAGCGCGAGAGTTTGATTCTTCACGTCGAAGCTAAGGAATTCCATGGTCTCGCTTGTACTATCGCGTAACGTACTAAAGCTGGCGACATCTCTATCCAATATTTATATACTGTGTTACGACATGTTTATGTTTATATGTTGGTGCCGTGCGCCGATATTTAATCGTTGAATGCTTGAGTGTACTTTCATACATATGTATACACATGCTTGCTTGAGCTGTTGGCACACAACCAACAAGTTGATACGGTACAGGGGAAAGGGGAATTGCCTTAACGTTCGACTCGTAATGCATAGTAGTAGGATCTCCGCAGTAGCACAAGTTCTATTGCTCAGTACGAGTTAGTATGTATTTTGCATCTATGTTTACGACAATGTCATCATCCTTCATTATTGTATCTTAGTTTGTCGCGTTTTATTTCGTTTTATTTCTTGTTATGCGATTAATTTCTATCACTCATTAATGACAACATGATTAAACGGAGGCGTTACTGTTATGTTACAATCGCTCGTTCAACTGATGAGAGCAGAGGATTCCCCTTTCCCCTGTGCCGTTTCAACTCGACGGTAGTGTGCCAACAACTCATCTCTCTGCAGTACATGAACGCGCCAGTTGTGAAGGTTATCATGTAGAATGGAAAATTAAGGAATCAGATTTGGTACATTTGCTGACGGATGTATAAGTCTATCCGAAAATGTAAAAACACTTGAAATATTATAATTATATGTATTGTAATATGTATTATACGTATGTGTACATATGTATTATATGTATCATAATATGTTATAATTATGTATATTGTAGATTGTATCTGACATTTTGAAATTTTATTAGCACCATAATGAGATGAGACTATCGTGTTTATTATATATAATATAGAAGTTATAACAAATTTAATGTAAGTATAATATTTCACAGAGACTATGAAAATAAAAAAATAAAATATTTAATTATCTATTGTTATTTATTACTATCTATTACTAAACATCATCGGTAATTAATTCTAAACAATGTTGTCACGTTGAACTCGTACTATTTTGCATAGAACTTTAATAAAGCAAAGTAATAAAGCAAGGTATTTTCCATTCGGAATCTCATATCGAGGTGACTTCTTAATGTAAAAATGTGTGGTGGGCTCTTTTCATCGAGCTTATATATGTTTTTCTAATTCTCACTTCGGTCCATTGGATCCTTGACCAAACCTTAAGACAACTCATTTCGCGAGGCATTCTTAACAAGGTTTTCCTTGTTACATATAGTTGCCGCTTGCCATTAGTTATTAAGGTGGGTAAACTGTCGGTACCATACATTATAGGTAAATTATAGGTAAATTCTGTCTATAAATGTGCATTCGTGACAGTGCATGTGATAGATTATCGTTGTTTTAATGCTTTAATGTCGGGTGTTGTGCGACTCATGGTTAACCGATTAGGAGATGATTTTACATGTGAAAGTGTGTCGAAAAGAAAGAAGAAAATTTTTTCATTAAAGCCTTCGTTTTCGAAAAAATTGATTCAATTATATTTGAATTTGGTTAATTTCATAGTGGACAAGCGTGAATAATTGACACGAGGATATGCGCAAAAATAAGTAAAAAATGTAGAAAAAAACTTGATGAGTATTAATATTATATAATTTATACATATTATATAATTCATACTATATTATTTATAATTTATACTATATATTTTATAAATATTAAAACTTGTTGGAAATATTTAGTAATTTATATATACATTCAGATGTGTTTCAAATTTTATTAACATGACCGTGATTAGACTGCGGATGTTCATACAAAAACATATTTTGATATGTAATTACTATTTTGCATATTGCATATATTTTGCATATTATTTCGATTAAAAAGCATATGTATTATACGTTAAATATTTCTCTCACGTTTATCTTATCATATTTTATTATAGATGACTATGTGTGTAGTTCAAAAGATCGATATAATTATTAAGTTATGTAGCCAACAACATTGGAGCACAGATAAATATGCATTTGTATTATGACATAAAACATTATACATTTCATTATTTTAATAGTAACAAGTTAATGTTAATTAATGAATGTCAATAATGAAAGTTGCAAATATGAAAAAATAATATAATGTAATAATTTATACACAATAATGTATAATAATAATAATTAATAATATAGTACTGATATATAATAATTTATATATATATATATATATGTTTATAATTTATATATATAGTAATAATTTATTGTAATGTCAATTATGTACGAATTGTTGAATTTCTTTTGTACCACTGAATACAACATATTATTCAACAATTCTATACATTTTTTGTGCATATTTGTCATGTGTCACTTACATATTTTATGAACGCAAATTTCACATGCTTTTTTCATATTTTATATGCATGAACATTCGCAGTCTAATCGTGACAATCGTGTGTCATTGTAATGAAATTTCAAAATATTTTATGTAACATATGTATACTTATATACTTACATGTGTATATAAAGTTTCTTATATTCAATGTTGAAATATATCTTAGTATGTCTACCTATAAAATATTAAAATATCATAGGTCATAATCTTCATATTCCTTAATGTATGATTTAAAGTGAAAGTCAGAGTTAAATTGAACAATTTATTCTTACATGTATTCGGTATTTATTATATAGAAATCATACGATTATTGTGAAAATCGGAAATTTCATTTATTACTGGATTTTTGGGTAAACATATATATTTCGAGAATGTGTGTGAATATGAAAGATAGAACCTGAGTAGAAAATTGTTTCATGTATTAAATTTCAAAATTCATGTAAAATATTATAGAAAGTATTATATTTTCGATATATTATAATTTGTATATTTTATGTATTTTTGTAATTTCAAATTTTCTATAAATGCGTAAAAATCTACAATCTTTTTATTATTGTATTATTCTTTTGTGTGATCTGTTATTATATAACAAGAGATCAAACTTATGACGAAGTGTAAATATTCTAAAATCATGGGTCTATAAATAAGAAATTAAGAAATTTTGTATTCAGTTGATTTAAAAATATAAAAATTTTCCAAAAATATATGTATAATTAAACTGTAAAAGTTGAAAGTTTTCAAAAGACTGTTAATATGTTTCTTTCCTGCAATGGAAAATTTTATCATTAGAAGATTGAGGTAATGTTCATGAAAGAAACGATAAATGTTGATAATTGCATAGGCACTAGTTCCAGCATCTGATAAAACGGTGTTTATATCTATACTATGTATAACTAATATTTCACTTGTGCTCCAATTTTCCTATATAACGAAACACATTCATCATTATATTTTCACAATAAAATGTCACGGAATATTTTTAACGAACATTATTCATATTTTCAGAAATATCAGCGACATAATATAATCGTACTAATCTATTTATCTTAATCTATTTATTTATTAATTCATTTCTTTTATCATAAACTTTATATACAGATATAAGTACGTATTAAATTCGTTAGTAAGATAAAAATCAAAGGATTAAATATTAATTATTTTTTTTCCACAAACTTCCGTTACATTTTAATCTGAATCACTAAGCTAACTGATATAAAAATTCACATCTGATAGATTAAAATATAGATTTAATGGATAGATTTAATTTAACATGAGAAAAAGGTTAATGTAGATGTTTCAAAAAATTAGTTTCATCTCAATAACTTTTAATCCTGATGCATTCCTTATTTTTCCAACTTAATTTATTCCTTCGTGTCAAATTTATTAAAAAATAATAGTAAAATTAATGGTAAAAAAATGGTAAAAAATTAATATCTATAATGAAAAAATAAATAATTTTATTTGCAAATTCTTTTATTGACAATAAATAGAGTAAATTTCTATTGCATGTAAAATTTACATAAATCCTACTAGCACTAATTCAATTTCGCATCGTGATCTCACCTTCTGTAACTTTGTCTAATGTTATGATCATTTATTCTGGACTTGTTACTATTATAGTTACTATTATATTATTATAATTTCAAAATTATATATATTTATACGCAGTCGGAAAGGTGCTGCTTTGGATGTATAATTGTGGTATAATATAATAATAATTAATTAAAAGAAAATGTTTATTAAGTGATTTAAAAACAAATATTATTTGTAACTCTAGGATATTTTCTTATCAGAAATGTTGAAGACATATGTTATACGTTCAAAAATATTGATATTTCACATAAAACGACGCATTCGGTCATCTGACAGAAGAAAGAAAATTTTGAACTAATAATAGAATTTTATAATTAGAATTTTAAAAATAGTTTGTTTCCATAATGAAATCAAGATCGCCTTATGTAGAAATATATGATTCTATTTTTCAAATAGAATCAGATACTACTTTTCCCATATGTTGTAGAAGATATTGTAGGAGACATATCTTCCACATATTGTAGGAGACATAAGATGAATTCAAAAAGCATCGTATTTGAAAAATGCGATCTTGACCTCATTATGAAAACGAATTATTTTTTAAATTCTAATTATCGCTATTTGTTGTATACTCGATAATATCAGTCGCAAATTTCTGTTCAAAACTTTTTTTATCAGCTACAAATAGCTAAAAAACCGTGCGCTGCTTCACATGGACTTACATTTACTCTGTATATTATATGTTATTATAATAGGGATTGCAAAAGTTAAGGAACTTTTAAATAGATTTAAAATATGAATTGTAAAACTTTTTCGAAAAATGTTCTTACATTACAAGTTTTTGAGAACAGATAAATGAATGTTCTTAAACTTAAAAACTTCAGATAGAATAGAACTTATAAAATATAAATTAAAAATTTTTCTGTCGGAAGAACAGATAATTTGTTCATCGATATTAAAAAAGTTCTCAATATTTGTAGCAAATACTAACACTTAATATTATTCAATAAATAATATTCAAATATAGAAATTAATTAAATGTCCTAAAATAACTTATTTCCATGGAACTTTTATTAGACAAATTCTAAAATATCGAATAGAATTTTTTTAAAAACGAAAAAAATTTGTTAATTTCAATCTCTGGTAACAATAGAATGATAATAAATGTATTATTAATTAAAAATATTTTATGTTATTTGCAAA